AGAGAGAGAGAGAGAGAGAGAGAGAGAGAGAGAGAGAGCGCGCGCAACACCTAGGCAGAGGTAATCAATGAAGAGTAAAATCAATACTTTGAAATTTCATAACCAGTAAGAAAGAGAAATTTATAATCTACAAATGATTCAGCATAACAGAAAATATAGTGTTACAGGAAGTAATTACATGGAATTAGAAAAATTAGTTTTAAGGTTAATATATTTTAAAAGCCCTGATATTTACTGCCACAAAAATAGCAATCTGTTAGCATGCATCTCTTCTTTACCTTTTCCAGAACCTCATATTTTAAAGGATACTCAGTACCAGAATGATGTGTGACTCTGCCACAAACTGGGCCTGGCTGCTCCCATGGATATAGCTCTGAAAATGAAGAAAATAAAAAATCACAAATGGGGAAAAGTAACTGGTTCACAATTCTGTGAGGCATATAACCCATACAGTAATCTACCAATTAAGCTCCTACTTATAATTCTTTTGAGTAACTTCTAGTTAACGGGGAATAGATTATAGAGGTTAGATGATGTTACTATAAACTGTAGAAAACAACTGGATAGCAAGTCATCTCACACGCATAAACTTTACTTCTTAATAACACTACACACACACCAACACATGAAGCAGTGACTCTTAGCAGAGTTCCTTGGAAAGACACTGGACAGAGTAACGCAACAGTCAAGCAAGCAAGTTTTCTGCTTCTTACTGTTTTTAAATTGGCCTGCACAATGTCCAGCCATTCTTTGCCACATCACCAACATCTGGAGTAAGGAGTTAGCCTTAGAAAGGAACACACGTTACTAGCCCTGAAGCACTCTGTTATGATCCCTTATGAAGGTCACTGGTTTCTGAAGTTGCATTATTATTTTTAATACTTTTGTCAGCACTAACACAACGGATTTCATTCTGACCTCCTCATGCATGTGCCGCTGCACTCTCTTCTACCAAGCCACCCCCAATGCCTTCCTGGTTCTCTCCACCCCCTATTGCTAGTGCCCCCAAATAGCTAGTTCCCTTTTCTGGGTAGTTGCTTTAAATAGTAGTCCTTGCCTTGTTTTTTCATGTTGGAGGAAAAAAAAAATACAGCATCTTGTAATACAAATAAGCATTCTAACTTTTTATATCATATATAACACACAATTATGTTATTTGAGTTCCAAGAGGTCCTGCAATTTCTTTTGTTCAATTTTGTTTTGTGACAACCAACAGCAGAATTCTGTGTGTTTTAATGAGAAGCACACTTAACAAGGGACCAGATTATTCCTTCCTGGTGCTATCCTTGGACAAGTTACAAAATAAATTCAGTATTCTCCCATCAGTGTAAATAAGGACCTCTTATTAGATACCTCCTAGGTCTTTTGAAGTAAAACTTACATTGTGTCATCAGTGTTATTTTTTTGGTACTTTATTCTAATTTCTCCAGTATTTTATTTTTTACTGTTGTTGTGTGTATGTGCGTGCACACACAATGTGTTGGGGAGGGACCACATGTCAGGGCACACTTGTGCAAGTCAGAAGACAGCTCTGTGGAGGGCGTTCTTTCTTTCCATCTTTGCCTGGAGTCCGGGATTCAAACTCAGATCACCAGGCATGCTCGGCAAAAGCTCTTACTTGCTGAGCCATCTTGTCTATCCCGTATTTTCAAGTAGTCTATTTTTTGAAATTCTTCTCTCATACATTACATCCCAACTTCAGTTTCCTGTCCCTTCACTCCTCCTAGTCTCCCCCTACTCTCCTCTCCTACAATCACCCCCATTTCCCTCCAGAAAAGAGCAGTATCTCCTGACCTAACACATCTGTTTCTAGCTCTCATTCTAAATACTTCATAACAGAACTGCCTCATTTGTAGACGGGTTGTTGTGTGCCGATGTATTCTTCAAGCACAGTCTCAGGAAAGTCCTAATATTAGTCACTTCTAATTCACTCATAAGATGACCTCTAAAATCCTGTCATTTATATTCTTTTCTGACTCTATTTAATATTCTTACGTGGAAACTACTATAACTGGCAAACATAATCTACGTGCTAATCATATAAGACGAATCCTCACAAATATGTGACACTGGCAAAAAACAAAACAACCATCCAAATAAATACTACAAACTGTAGTTGACATCAAGTTTGACTAGAGCTAAGATTCAAAGAACCAACAAAGAGTAAGCTTTTATTCTTTTATTAATTTAATCATAAAGATAAT